CATGTGACACTGAAAGCTGGAGTGCAGTTTTTATACCACAGGAATAAATTACATTTCGAAAAATATTAACATTTAAAACAGTTACTTTAAATTGTAGTAATATTTTACCATATTACTGTTTTTACTGTATTTTTTTAACAAATAAATGCAGCCTTGATGATCATAAGACACTTCTTTCAAAAACATTAAAAAGTCTTACCTACCCCAAACTTTTGAACAGTAGTGTACTATATGACATAAAATATAGTGTAAAATATGACACGTCAAACAAAAATATAGAAGTTGCTACAAAACTACTAACCTTTGAACTGCTGAAGCCACCAAATTTTCTTCATTATGACCATTGTGGTCCAATGGTCAAGTGGGAGAGGTTCATAAAATTATGAGTTTCCTTCTTGAACAGTAATTATGAGTTCAATATAATATAATTCCTGGGGATTCAGGTCTAAAACTGTGTCCACTGTGGTTTCACCATAGATAACAAACCTGCATGGCAGCCGGGTGCTGGACATCTTGTTTGTGGATGTAGGCGTTCAGGCGTCAATCGAGGTCACTGAGTTGAGAGAGATCCCACCTCCTACGCTGCGTGACCTCATTTCCACCCCGGCCCAGGTCAGACAACAGATAATGACGGCACAAAGAGGTTAAAGAGTGTAGTGGTTTGTAACAGCAGAGCAGTTTGTGTTCATTTTTATTTTTTTGAATGAAAGGCATGAAAAACCTGTAATACTTGCTTTTGTTCGCAAACAGGAATTACTTTATGTTAGGCTGTCCAAAATGTCCAGGCTGCTTTTTTCCATTTTATCCAAGGCTGTCCAGGGTCCTCATCCACTTGCATTGTATGAAGATAGCAGCTTAGACATTTTGTTATAAATACAAATACTTTGAATAACATGAGGATGACTCGGTGATGACAGAAGTCATTTTTGAGTGAACTGATGTAATTGTTAGATGAATAATATGTAAGCTTGTCTGTCTGCCTATATTTGTCACTCTGCAGGCGCTGAAGTGTTGTCTGGCAGATCTGCCTGTGAGCGTAGACTCATGGACTCCAGATGCTGTCCAGTGGCTTAGAGACACGGCTCTCCACTGCAGTGACTGCAGCTTGAAGGCCAGTTCAATACAAATGCTGCTTTCTTCACATTTGCATTTCATTTGATTTTATTTGCACATGAGATACAAGCATAAAGCTGAGGCTAATTTCAGTAAGAAAAAAATGTAGTAAAGGCACAAAGATGCTTGTACAAAGTACTTAAAGGGATAGTTCACCCAAAAATGAAAAGTCCGTCATTAATTACTCACTCTCATGTCGTTCCAAACCCGTAAGACCTTCGGAACACAAATTAAGATATTTTTGATGAATTCCGAGAGCTCTCTGACCCTGCATACTGTATATACAGCGAAGATACTACCACGATCAAGGCACAGAAACGTAGCAAGGAGATCTGTAAAACAATCCATGTGACATCAGTGGGTCAACCGTGATTTTATGAAGCTACAAGAATACTTTTTGTGCGCAAAGAAAACAAAAATAACGACTTTATTTAACAACTCATCTCCTCCGCGTCACCCTAGCGCCATTTTGCAGAGTATCCACTGAACGTAAACAGTGTAGGCTGTTCTGTGTCTGCTGCGCCACACGGATACGTTGTCTACATTGTTTGCACTTTGATCTGAACGAAAACAGCGTATCCGTGTGGAGCGGCTGACACAGAACAGCATATGTTGTTTATGTTCAGTGGATACTCTCCAAAATGGCGCCAGGGTGACGCAGAGGAGACGAGTTGTTGAATAAAGTCGTTATTTTTGTTTTCTTCGCGCACAAAAATTATTCTCGTAGCGTTTTAAAATTACGATTGAACCACTGATGTCACATGGATTATTTTACCGATGTCCTTGCTACGTTTCTGGACCTTGACCGTGGTAGTATCCTCGCTGTCTATGGAGGGTCAGAGAGCTCTCGGAATTCATCAAAAATATCTTAATTTGTGTTCCGAAGATGAACGGAGGTCTTACATGTTTGGAACGACATGAGGGTGAGTAATTAATGACAGACTTTTCATTTTTGGGTGAACTATCCCTTTAACAACAGCAGAAAAGAAGCACTAAAAACAGTTGCTTTTGTTTTTCTAGATAGCTAAAGTGGATGAGCCCAAACGCCTCGCTCATGTTTATCTCTTCACCAGCAAGAACTTCCACGACACAAGCTGCTGTTTAAACCAACAGCTGGCCGACTCTAATCTGTGGAACCACCAGAAGGATGTTTTCTTAAGCAGCCGGGGGCCCTCAAAATCCCTCAACGCCCCGACAAACCCTGCCACCATCCAGACCTCCAGCCTCAGCACTGATGGACAGGATAAAGCCCCACACACACCCAAGAGGATGTCATCCCCGCTGGGGAGCCAGAGTGCACCTCCCGGCTCTCCGCCTGAAAAGCTGGCTCTTCCTCCACTGCTGGAGCTGCCCAAGATTGGGCAGAATTTGGACGTGTTTGTTTCAGTGGCATGCCATCCTGGGCACTTTGTGCTACAGCCATGGCACGATATGTACAAACTGGTGAATTTGATGGGGGAGATGATTCTGCATTATAATAAGATGGAGGAGAAACCACTTAAAGTGGAGAAGAACCAGGTCTGTGCTGCCAAGGTGGAAAACAAGTAAGCGTGCTTTCGTATATGTGTCTAGGTCAGGGGGTTTCAATTCTGCTCATAAAGGTCCAGAGTTCCTGTGGAGTTTAGCTCCAAAATAACTGCCTGGAAGTTTCTAATGATCCTGAAGACCTTATTAGCTGTTTCAAATTGGGGCTTGAGCTAAACTGAGCTGGAACTGAGAGGCTTGGGCCATATGATGTGTTTTATGAGGCCATGTGACCACTTATCATCTGTGTGATTTTACAGCTGGTACCGTGCACTGGTGAAAGGAGTCCTGACCAATGGTCTGGTGTCAGTGTTTCAGCTGGACTATGGCAAACATGAGCTGGTGAGCTGCACCCAGCTCCGGCCCCTCACCCAGGAGTTCTGCCAGCTCCCCTTCCAGGCCATCACTGCTCAGCTGGCTGGTACACTTCATTTCCTGTTAGAAAGGCTCTTTCATTTATTGAAAAGGCTGTTTTAGACAGCTACTTCATTTCAGAGAATCAGCTACTTCAGATCAGATAATTTTTCTATGATCCAGTTCTTGTTAATGTTTCATCAACAATAGCCAATAAGCTCCATTTGAAAGAGTCAGAAAGACTTTCATATTTATTTGAATTGATAGAAAATTCACCTTTATTCAGCAAGGACACATTCAATTGACCGACAGTATTACTAAACACATTTATGATACAAAATATTCTATTTCATATTTAAGAATAGTTTTCAACAAGTTTTCAACATTGATATTAACTTAAAAAAAAATCTTTAACATCAAATCAGAATATTATAATTATTTCTGAAAGATTATCTTTGCCATCACAGCAGTAAGTTACATTTTAAAATACATTAATATATGAAATGAAATAATTTTATATTTCAGTTCACAATATTACAATATTACTGTTGATTTGCAGCCTCGGAGAGACTTCTTTCAAAAACCTGAAAAGATCTTGCTGACCTCAAACTTTTAAACAGTATTTAAAAAGACACACACAAACACAAAACAGTGTAGCAAAGTGACCTTCCATTAAAAAATAGAATACAGTAAAATACAATTAAAAATAAATAATGTTATTAGTGTATATAAATGAAGAAGTTGAAAAAGTGTAAGCAAGTTATTTTTGATCTGAACGAGTGGAATAAATAATACATGTTTGAATAAAATTCTGCTAAAGGAGAACAGCTCCTGAAAAGAAATTGCTTTTGGAGAGATCTGACTGAATATAACTCTTCCACATTCAGATCGCTTACCAAAGTACTTTACTGACTGTGTGCTGTTTTGACTATCCCTCCTGGCCAAAGTCCCTGACTCATATGGGCCACATGGTATAAGCTGTAGCTAAGAACTGATCTCAAACAGCTGCTCCTTTTCATTTTGCTACTTTAGAGAAGTTCATGTATGATTTTATTGTAGATCTGAAGGTGTTTCTGATCTTTCCAGGCGTGAAACCCAGGCAGTGGTCTGAGGAGGCCTCCATTGTGTTCAGGAACCACGTCGAGAAGAAGCCCCTGGTAGCCCAGCTGGAATCGGTGCAGGAGGCGTCACAGCCCTGGGACTGTAAGGTGGTTATCTTCTTGGTGGACACTTCACAAGAGGAACGGGACATTTGGCTTCATGACATTATGGCTGAATTCACTGATGAGATGTCTAACGCAGCATAGACATTTTTGAAAGGTTCTCGTAAGATTGTTCATTAGTATGCTATAGATTAAAGGGGTCCTATTTTGCGCGTTTACAAAGTCTTGATTTTGTTTTGGGGGTGTACTAGAACAGGCTCTCATACTAGGTTGTTCGAAAAACACATGATTTTTCACATATTTTACATTATTACAACACCTCTCTCCCCAGTCTGGCATGAACGGCTCGAATAGTTCCTGTATCAAATGAAAGCCCGCCTTCTGAAATACGAAATGTGCTGTGATTGGTTAGCTGGGCCAGTGTGTGTTGTGATTGGCAGCACTCGGCGCCTGGTCGGGAAATGTCACGTCCCTTACCATAGCCGCCTGCGAGTAATATTTTACTCAATATTTTCTGCAGTGTAAATATTGCATCAAAATCAAATCAATTTTAGCGCGATTTAAACCCTGATGATTGTAACCACTCTAAGTTTGTCTGCCTTGGGAAAGCTAGCGTGTCTCTGACATAGTGATAACACTCGTTGTCTTCTCTAGTGCAGCTCAACCAGGTCTCGTCCCATTCGTCCATATTTGTGATATCACACATCCCGGAAAAAATGCATTGTAGTCCAAACAAGTCGTTCCTTGTAGTTTTTGAAAAGTGATTTCTGTTAAATAAAATATCTCCTTTTGAAGTGGACTTTGAGCTTTGTAACTTCGCAGATCTTTTTTATGCTCAAACAGCAACATTACAGACTAACTAAAGTTGAAAAAGTGAAAAAGCATAATAGGACCCCTTTAAAGGTTAATTTTTCCAAATGTGACTTGGACGCAGATCTGTGTTAGCAAATGTGAATCAGAGTTTAAAGGTTAAACTTTTAGACAGAAGTATTGCCATTTCTAGCAACTTCTATGTTAAACAAACAGGATAGCAACACCTTTTCAAGGGTTTGACGTCTATGCTTGGTGAGAGAGTGAGTAATGCTCTCTGTAGACTATTGTCTTTGCTTTAACACAAAATAGCTGTGAAGATCCATCATCAGTGAAATCAAGCTTAACAAGTTAATCATGATCACTAAACCTGTACCAAACCCTGATGCTGTCAATCATATATCATAATGTATCTGAAAACTGTCTGAATACATTATATAAGTTTGATTGTCCAGATGATGTGCTTGTGGTGGCTTGCTTCATGCTTCAAGTATGGCATGTTCCAAAGCTGCCAGTTTACTACTCTATATGGTCCAAAAGAGACTAACAACGCACAGTGCTCTAACTCGCACAAAGCTGATAGTGTGTTATTTCAAAATTGTTTACATGGAGAAGATTTTTGGAGTCTAAAAGGCAAGAGGAGCGGCAAAAGCCTACCTTGCTGTAGACGTATGTATTTGAGCTCTGGTTTTAGCATTATTTATTTCGTTTTTATTTTCCTTGTGTCTTGCTAAATAGTGGAGGCATGAAATGTTTGGGGTTGTGACTATTCAATGTAATTTTAATAGCAGTGGCATAGTAAATTAGTTTTATTACCTGAATATGACAATTAGACTTGAAGCTAAACCACTGTTGGCATGTAGGATTTCACCTGTGTTTTAACTACAGATGCTAAATACTTTAAAAAAAATAAATGTGGAACAATCACTGGTAGTAAACTTAATATATTTCCTTTACCTTAAATGTCAACTTGGAATCAAAATTTTCTTTATTATTACACCTCTCTGGTTTTATGTGAATGATAAAATTATGTTCGCAATCAAAATTAAATAGCTTGTTCTTTCAGCTTATGTCACACGTTTTTTTTTTCTCTCCAAATCTTCCATTTTGACCTCCTGTAAAAAGAATGACGTTTTACAGCCCAATCAAATAAAAGCACACTCTAGATTTTTTCTCATAAAATATCCAGTTTCACTCAGAAGTATCGCATTGCAAAAATAAAATGAGATATGAATGCCGATTCATTTTGACTTTGTTAAATAAAATGATCTCTATATTAGTGGTTTTGGGGCTGAAGCCAACAATGGAACCACAGAATGACTTAAAATAATACATTACTATTATTTGTATTTGGTGTAATGCAATGTGTTTACGTGGTTTAAGGTTAAAAAACACATTATTTTCCACATACCGTACATTCTTGTTGCTCCTCTCTGCCCTGCTTTTCTGAAACGCGTAGATTTTTTACAAAGCTCATTGTTCTGAAAAGCACGGTGTGCTCTGATTGGCCAGCTATCCAGTGCATTGTGATTGACCGAATACCTCAAGCGTGTGAAGGAAATGTTACGCCTCTTACCATATTTGGAAGCACACAGTGTGTTTCCACAACATGGCGGCAACAATACTACAGCGAGAATAAAAGTTATGCCTTTTTTCTTTGCGTAAACATTTGGGCGGTGTTATGCAAATCTTGCAACACAGTGACGTAGACATGTGGGGGCGTGTTTGAATGAGGTGTTTTTGGAAGGCATGGACGAGTTTTAACTTTTATAAAAGAACATCTCTTTGGGTTTGAGAACTTTACAGATCTTGTATATGCACGAACAGCTTGTAACACTCCAAAGACAAAGGAAAAAAATAGGTTACTGTCGTAACCCCGGTTCTCTGAAACATCGAGTGGAGAGATCCAGGTGAGAGAGTGAGTAATGCTCTCTGTAGACTATTGTCTTTGCTTTAACACAAAATAGCTGTGAAGATCCATCATCAGTGAAATCAAGCTTAACAAGTTAATCATGATCACTAAACCTGTACCAAACCCTGATGCTGTCAATCATATATCATAATGTATCTGAAAACTGTCTGAATACATTATATAAGTTTGATTGTCCAGATGATGTGCTTGTGGTGGCTTGCTTCATGCTTCAAGTATGGCATGTTCCAAAGCTGCCAGTTTACTACTCTATATGGTCCAAAAGAGACTAACAACGCACAGTGCTCTAACTCGCACAAAGCTGATAGTGTGTTATTTCAAAATTGTTTACATGGAGAAGATTTTTGGAGTCTAAAAGGCAAGAGGAGCGGCAAAAGCCTACCTTGCTGTAGACGTATGTATTTGAGCTCTGGTTTTAGCATTATTTATTTCGTTTTTATTTTCCTTGTGTCTTGCTAAATAGTGGAGGCATGAAATGTTTGGGGTTGTGACTATTCAATGTAATTTTAATAGCAGTGGCATAGTAAATTAGTTTTATTACCTGAATATGACAATTAGACTTGAAGCTAAACCACTGTTGGCATGTAGGATTTCACCTGTGTTTTAACTACAGATGCTAAATACTTTAAAAAAAATAAATGTGGAACAATCACTGGTAGTAAACTTAATATATTTCCTTTACCTTAAATGTCAACTTGGAATCAAAATTTTCTTTATTATTACACCTCTCTGGTTTTATGTGAATGATAAAATTATGTTCGCAATCAAAATTAAATAGCTTGTTCTTTCAGCTTATGTCACACGTTTTTTTTTTCTCTCCAAATCTTCCATTTTGACCTCCTGTAAAAAGAATGACGTTTTACAGCCCAATCAAATAAAAGCACACTCTAGATTTTTTCTCATAAAATATCCAGTTTCACTCAGAAGTATCGCATTGCAAAAATAAAATGAGATATGAATGCCGATTCATTTTGACTTTGTTAAATAAAATGATCTCTGGTTTTGGGGTTTTGGGGCTGAAGCCAACAATGGAACCACAGAATGACTTAAAATAATACATTACTATTATTTGTATTTGCAATGTGTTTATGTGTTTACGTGGTTTAAGGTTAAAAAACACATTATTTTCCACATACCGTACATTCTTGTTGCTCCTCTCTGCCCTGCTTTTCTGAAACGCGTAGATTTTTTACAAAGCTCATTGTTCTGAAAAGCACGGTGTGCTCTGATTGGCCAGCTATCCAGTGCATTGTGATTGACCGAATACCTCAAGCGTGTGAAGGAAATGTTACGCCTCTTACCATATTTGGAAGCACACAGTGTGTTTCCACAACATGGCGGCAACAATACTACAGCGAGAATAAAAGTTATGCCTTTTTTCTTTGCGTAAACATTTGGGCGGTGTTATGCAAATCTTGCAACACAGTGACGTAGACATGTGGGGGCGTGTTTGAATGAGGTGTTTTTGGAAGGCATGGACGAGTTTTAACTTTTATAAAAGAACATCTCTTTGGGTTTGAGAACTTTACAGATCTTGTATATGCACGAACAGCTTGTAACACTCCAAAGACAAAGGAAAAAAATAGGTTACTGTCGTAACCCCGGTTCTCTGAAACATCGAGTGGAGAGATCCACCTATGGGAAGGGCATCCATACCTGACCTCTGCAGAAGCATCTAATTGCACCAAATCTGGCTAGACAGACAGAAGTGCGCAGCCAATGCCAGGTAAGGCCCCACCCCCTTACCTGAGCATATAAGGCCTGCACGCGATGCTATTCTCCAGTAAGTATATTCGCTTCTCGTGCGTCAAGCGGGGCAAAGCTGGTGGATCTCTCCACTTGATGTTTCAGAGAACTGAAGGAAATGTTACGCCTCTTACCATATTTGGAAGCACACAGTGTGTTTCCACAACATGGCGGCAACAATACTACAGCGAGAATAAAAGTTATGCCTTTTTTCTTTGCGTAAACATTTGGGCGGTGTTATGCAAATCTTGCAACACAGTGACGTAGACATGTGGGGGCGTGTTTGAATGAGGTGTTTTTGGAAGGCATGGACGAGTTTTAACTTTTATAAAAGAACATCTCTTTGGGTTTGAGAACTTTACAGATCTTGTATATGCACGAACAGCTTGTAACACTCCAAAGACAAAGGAAAAAAATAGGTTACTGTCGTAACCCCGGTTCTCTGAAACATCGAGTGGAGAGATCCACCTATGGGAAGGGCATCCATACCTGACCTCTGCAGAAGCATCTAATTGCACCAAATCTGGCTAGACAGACAGAAGTGCGCAGCCAATGCCAGGTAAGGCCCCACCCCCTTACCTGAGCATATAAGGCCTGCACGCGATGCTATTCTCCAGTAAGTATATTCGCTTCTCGTGCGTCAAGCGGGGCAAAGCTGGTGGATCTCTCCACTTGATGTTTCAGAGAACCGGGGTTACGACAGTAACCTATTGTTCTCTTTCATCATCTCGTGTCTGAGATCCACCTATGGGAGAGACATGGACAGCTCCCCGATTGCCCAATACACTCACAGTAAGGTTCTGTAAGCCAGAGAAGGACGGTCACCCCAAGCCGGTGCCTGACACGTCCCATAATCATGCACCTGACAATCCTGACACACACACACACACACATGACTGCTGTGCACAGGCAGGACATGAAACATGTATGAGGCCCACACATGTAAATAAATACAGCAACACATATGAAACACCCAGGCAGGAAAATAAAGTGAAGTGACATGAAGTGACATGTGCATAAATGCATGCTTGGTGACACGAATGTGCGTGGCCCGACGGCCCACTCACCCTTCGTTCCTTTACTACAATGTGTAAATGGGAGGCAGAGAGGAAGGTAACAAGGAGCTATGAAGACCCCATCCCTAAAACAGAATGTGCTACCGAAGTTTTGGTGACATCCAGTCGGTAGTAACGCACATGGGGAGAGGCCCAGCTGGCAGCAGAGCAGATGTCCTGCAGTGACACTCCCCCGAACAAGGCCCAAGAGGCGGCTAAGCCCCTCGTGGAATGAGCTCTGATGTTCCCTGAGGGCTGCAGACCCATCGATTCATATGCCAAAGCAATAGCTTCCACAAGCCAATGTGAGAGGCATTGCTTAGATATGGGACTCCCCCTGTGCGGGGGTGTCCATGAAATAAAGAGCTGGTCGCTCTTCCGGAAAGCACTGGTCCTGGTCATATACGTCTGTAATGCACGAACCGGACAGAGCATTCAACCTCTGATCCTCGGTGGAAGAAAAAGGTGGTGGGTGAAAAGCGGACAGCTCCACCACCTCCGATGTAAACGCAGGGAAGCACTTAGGCAAAAAAGCCGGGTTCGGCTTAAAAAAAAAACTTATCTCCACTAAGAGAGAATTTAGTGCACGAGGAATGAACCGAGAGTGCATGTAGCTCACTGACACGTTTAGCTGAAGCCAAGGCCAAGAGCAAAGCTGTCTTGAAAGACAGCAGCTTCAGGGAAATACTTCCCAGGGACCGTATAAGCACGCATGGCGGAGGCTGATCCAGAGATGTGTCCTCCTGTAGACGGTTAAGTGAAGTCAAAACCAACGAGCTGTGAGTAAATTTCAGAGGTCGCGAGAAGCGAATGTCAACTGGAGAATAGCGTCGCGTGCAGGCCTTATATGCTCTCAGGTAAGGGGGTGGGGCCTTACCTGGCATTGGCTGCGCGCTTCTGTCTGTCTAGCCAGACTTTGTGCAATTGGATGCTTCTGCAGAGGTCAGGTACGGATGCCCTTCCCATAGGTGGATCTCAAACACGAGATGATGAAAGAGAACTGGAAATCGCATCATATGACCCCCTTTAAAATGCTAAAAACACAAAATCAAGATAGAAACTGAAAGCATACCTCCAAAACAAGCGGCTTGGTCATAATTATACCACAAACACTGGGAATATCTTATGGGCAACCTAAATGGGTTATGGGGGCATTAGAGTCAAAAAGGTTGAGAACCACTGATCTACATCAATAACATGAGCCTTGCTTTAGGAAAGATTTCAACTGATCACCAGTGTTTATTCACATCATGCATTCATTCAGATCCATTCAGCTTCAAAATGTGAAAATTTAAATACAAACTAATGATATATAGATTGAGGTTTAAGAGATCTGAAAGAGGGCTTTTCTCATGGAGGAGTAGTAATGGAAGGAGAAGCTGGTTCACCTTCATAACATCACTGCAGTTCATCAAGCACTAGTCGGCAGCACTCGCCCACTTTAGCCGGATCAGAGACCCTGGCATATTTAGAAATCTGAGAGTTGACACCCAAAGATCGTGCAAGGTCCTTTGCGGTGCTATCCCCGGCCACTGTGGTCCCCAGGGCCACCAGCAGCCTGAAGACGGCCTCTTTGTCGTGTACGACCTCTAAGGTGGTGCTGGCCACTGATAAGCACTGTGCCTTCGCCTCGATCTCGGTGGGTTGACCGTACAACCTTCCAGCGTAGTTGAGCACCAGGGTAGCCAGCGCCACGTGGATGTTCTTGTTGGAGACGACACGGAGGTCACCGGCACGGGACAGGACTGCGTCACGTTGACCCAAGAGTAGAGCGCGGCCGTGGGACCCAGAGAAACAGTTGCAGAGAGTGCGGAGCGCCAGCATCTGATTTGCAGGCCTGCCCTCAGGAGACATGAGACCCAGGAGATGGTTGCAAAGACTGGCACCTTCAGTCCCACCACAAAGCTGGGCGTTGACTTCTGGATGGCGCACAGCCAAACGCAGGATGTCCAACACTGGGAAGACAATGTCTGAGGATGGAAATGATGACTGATTAATAGACTGGAAGTAGCAACAGATCTTTTATTCTGTATTGTGAGGTACATCCAAGTTAACAGATTATATATATATATAGAAAAAAAGATAAGATTAGATAAGGTATATATATATATCACCTCACCAGAGAGAAGTCTGTTGTTTTTCCCCTGGAAGATCCAGTTATTACATTTTGATTAAGTTATTATTAAATAATAATAATTAAAAAAAAAACTAAAGTAATACTGAAATAAAAATAAAGGAAACCTAAATGCTTATATTTAAAAAGTACAAAAATGAGTAAAAATGCACATAACAAAATTACTAAAAATGTAAATATTTAAAAAATGAAATCTTATTCCAAATATCAAATAAAAACTTTAATTGTATATAAATAATACAACAACACTGTGAAATCGATCAAGCTCATATGATCAAGCTGTTCTGAGAATAAAGTATTGAATTCAGTTGATTCATTTGCATAGTCAGATATTTTCTTTCCGCTGCCTTTTCAAACTTTTTCTGCAGCAACAGCCTTGTAAATTCATTTAAATTCATTATATTAACGACATCTCTTAATGATGAGAGATGCATTCGCTCCAGAGTTAATCACAAACTCTGGATCAAGTTGACGGAGAACGCTTTGTGAGCTCGCTGAACCTGATCTAAACCAGGTTGGATCTGTTTGGTTTTGTCAACTCTAAACTTATTCTGAAATTTTATTCAGCTAGCTTCATGCAACAGGCCACAGAAGTTTGTAGTAATATTGAAGACTTTGATTAGCTGGTTCAGGTGGTTTAATTAAGAGTTATAGCTAAACTCTACCGTGGCCCTCCAGAAGCAGAACTGAACACCCCTGCCATCAGTGATACTTTGTTTAAGTCTTAGTATAGTGAGTTGTTTATTTAAGCAGGTTAAATAGGCTCAATGCC